GAGAGAAGGAAGCTCTTTTGAAATGTTTATAAAAGCATACAGCAGTTGCAGATTAATTTTTTTACACATCCTTCCATTAGAAATGAAAGATAGAATCATAGAATGAATCTATGATTCTGTGTAAGAAAGCAGAAGCAATTTGGAGATCCATACGCTTGTGTGAATTTATTTGACTATATGGTCGGTAGAACTGTCTGGTTTTCTGCAGAAGCCAGAGATCTCTCTACTGTGGCAGGGTTGTTTGGTTTTGGGTTTGTGGGGTTTTTTTTAATTCGGGGTCAAAACTCAATATTAGTATCAGTATGTTATTCTAATTAGATCACCTCTGTTTAATATATAGGCTCTCTTCAGTCATTCCCATCAGTTAAAAATAGCCTTATTTTCACTGATAACTGGTTTTAAGTTTGGCTGCGTCATTGAGGAATGTCTTAGAGAAGATAGTTGCACCTTGCCAAATGTAAATTGATATCCTGCAATTGCAGACTTGGTTAAGCGCCATGCTGGTGTGCTAGGACTTAGCGCGTGTATTTTGTCAAGTCCGTATGATGTGCCCACCTGGATGCCACAGCTCTTGATGGATCTCAGTGCCCATCTTAATGATCCTCAGCCTATTGAGGTAAAAATACTTGTATCATTTGTCTGTTCGATATAACACAGCTAAAATACGCTTGACTCATTCCGAGTTCCCCTTTCCTAGAAAAAAAAATAGGAACCTATTAAGAAACTTAGTTTCTGCTGCTTTTTATTAAATGGTTCCAAATACGTTTTAAGTCGTGGACTGCTTTTAAGTTTTTTTTGTGGTAGTTCTGTTCTTGCTTTCAAATTTAAAGCACAAACTGAAAGCTGCAAGAACTATATCTATAATGAGGAAATAGTCTTTTTTAATTAAAAATGTCACTTTTGTGCATGCCATTCTAGACGATATCCAGCCTGAACCAAAAAAATCTGAAATTCTTAATACAAGGTTTTATAAGCAGCCCTAGAAACAAGTTTTTAATGAAATAGTTACCTTTAACTCTGGTTTTTTTTCCCTGTCTATTCGGTTTTGTTGACCTTTGCTGTTTTAACCAGAGTAGTGAGCTTATGGCTGAAGATTTCCTTAGATTTAACGAACTTTGCTGTGGTGTGCTTTACTGAATCAAGCAACAGAACTGACTGGACTTCTCTTTTGTTAATTTAATAATAATCTTAATTATTTTAATAACAGAAGATAGTTTTCCTCCGATTTGTTTCTTCTGTGCACCTCATGTGATTCATCAACTCTTTCTCATGTTTGGACACCCAAACCATTGGTTAGAAATACCCAAGGAAGAGGGGAAAAGCATTTCACTTACACTTTATAAGAGTCTATTAATTTTTTCAAACTCCAAAATTGTAGGTCAAAGAATCCTTTTTATAAGAACGTTGGAGTCGTGACACTGGTCAAAAGACTAACCAGAACTGTAAAAATTAAAATACTGGGGAACTGGGCTGAATTTCCCAGAGCCCTTGTAATCTTTATAACTGCTCAAACACTTTGCTCTACTCAGCAGTTATTTTTGTTGCATTCAACGTTTGTTTTGTCATGGAGCTTAAATCCATAACTGATACAGATCAATGCTGATTGTCTGCCATGCAGATGACTGTGAAAAAAACGCTGTCAAATTTCCGGAGGACCCATCATGACAACTGGCAGGAGCATAAACAGCAGTTCACGGATGACCAGCTACTAGTGCTTACTGACCTCTTGGTTTCACCATGCTATTATGCGTAGATCGGTAAGATTATTTGTTTTGACATAAACTGACAGAAGCATCAGTCTTACGAAATGTACTGTAGCTCTCCAGTCTAGCATGGAGTAGGGAGGAATCTGTAAACCACAGGGAGAATTGAGTCCCTTGCACCTCCAGTGGTCTGTTCAGGATCAGATTTATTTTCATTAAATATTGCCCATCTTTGTGCGTGTCCCTGTATTACACCGGTGTGTTGCTAAGATGCTCACACTTGTGTTCTTGAATATTGATGCTCCTTTTCTCCATTTTCTGCCAGTTGGCTGCCTTTTAAATGCCTGGCAGCTTCACTAAAGGCAAGGTGCTTGCTGCTTCATACTTCTGACGCCTCTGAGGACTTTAGCCTACCGCGCAGCCCAGTATATCATCTACTTCTCACGATGGGGAATGACTGCTGCCAAACTGTTTCCTCTTCCTCATTGTGGCTTTGCTGCCAGGTCTCTTCACATAGGCATGTCCCCAAAGAATGAGTCCATTCTGGAGTTTCTCTTTGTTACGCTACAAGATTCTGATCTCTGTCACAGTGTGATGTTTTGTGGCAGTATTCCAAAAGAAGTTTTAATTTATATTTTCTTTTTGTTATGTGGTAATAGCCTGAGGCAGTAATCTTGTTTTGAATTCTTGCTTCTTTCTTTTCAGGTTTCTCCTGGAAAAATGAGGATGTGGGAACCTTTCTGCAAAATAAAGGAAACTCCAAGAAATTTATCATGTGGAAAACTTTGTGTTGGAAATCCTGATGCCTAATCAAAACCACTTTTAAATACAAACGTGAAGACCTGGTTCTATTCAAAAAGAATTTCACCTCCCCAGGGAGCAGCTGTGGGAGCCCCACAGTCTCCTTGTAACTGCGCTCACAGAGCCCGATCGTGAGTTTATTGCAAGACCCTTGTCACTGGCCTGCATTACACATCAGTCTTGTTTCTGCTTTCTTGCACACGGTGACTTACACTGCACATCTCTTACCCTCTTTTTCCGACCCTTCTTCCCAGCTGTTTCCGACATCAAAGATACGCAGAACCAGAGCGCGCTGCAAACCAGAATATTGTCAGTGAAGCCCTCCAGTTCTCTTGATGCAACTTCTTACCTAGTGAGCGTACAATACCAGGAACCTATCTTTCTCAGAGTTTATTTTTCACTACTTGGATTTGAGTGCCCGTCAGGTGATGGGCTCTGTATCATTCAGTCCACCTCAGGGCAGGATTGCCTTTTTGTATCTTCCTTGTCAAAATGTAAATAGCTGATCTTCTCTGTGCAGTATAGACGATGGCAGGACAAAACGTGGGGAGTGAAAGCTCTTACTGCCTGGCCAGGTCTTCATAGATAGTTTGGCCACGTGTGGAATAACAATCTATGATTATCTGCGTATTTTTAAGGGTGAAAGACTATGGGTGTTTCCACGTAATTAGAGCCCACAGATACGAAATTATGGACTATCAAGCGATGGTTGAATTCACAGGATGAAATGTATGCAGAGTGTGAAAAAGCGCTGAATGGCTGACTATTTTTAACAGCATATTCTCATAAAGATTGTCACTGTTTGAGCAGGCATATCTTGTTTGAAGATTGTGCAAGCTCTGTATTTTTTTGCCTGCAGCTTTGTTCAGAGACTGATATCTATTGGCTATTTAATGTGTTACATAGTTGTAAAAGACTGTATAAATTGTAGAGGCATTGCATTGACAAAACATTGTACAGTTTGCAACCTTTTACATAACACCATTGTGAGATTAATTTGTAAAGATTCATACTTAGATGTTAATACAGTAGTAGTTCTGGCTTTTGTATCAAATCAAATGCCATTATTAGTTTTTTAAATTATTTTCTTTAACAGAATATCTCTTCATGTCTGAAAGGCAGAGGTTTTGTTTTGGTTTTCTTATATCATTATTACTATGTCTCATTCAGATTTTAATGCAACACTTGTGGCCATCTCTAAAATGCTGACATCACATATTCGAGTGTGATAAGCTCACAGAATGTGAGGTACATTGAAATAATTCATAAACTGGTGTGTGTTTCAACTTCCATGCAACCCTACAGGAGCACTGGTACATTTCGAGTGATCTACCTGCTGAGCGTGTGACTCATTCCAAACTTCAAAGCACAGCGGTGTTCCTGGTGCAGTATTTAATGAGTGTCAGCACACAGATGTAACCACTGTATAGCGTAGTGCCAAAATTATTATTTCAATTGTGTACGTAGTTTAAGACCCAATAAATGGACTGTTTGTAACATCTGCATTTTTTTTTTTTTTTATTTCTAAAGCGGAAATTTTGGATTTTGAGACTATAACTTAAGGTTGTGTACTGTGCTTTTGAGCTTTTTGTATGAGGCACGTGTTTTATTGTGGGACTTGGCTGTGAGTTAAGGCAACATTAAGGCTCAATTAATGGTCTGGTTCTAATGGTGGGGAAACGAGCTTTTATATTTATGTAAAAATATCTTGTACCCGGTGAGGCTTGCCAAGAAACTTGTTAACTTCTGAGAAGTACGCTGAAAATTGGAGAAACTAGTTTGAAGTGGAGGGGGTTTTGCTGATAGAATTAAAAAAAAAGTTAATGGAAAATATTTGCTGCAGAGAGTTGTCTTTAAAGTATGTGCTGGCTGATTAACTGGTGGAGCAGGTATTAGATGGTCTGTTTTGCCTACGCTAAGGGCAGCTAACTACAGGAACCAGCTCTGCTGCTTTTTACTGTAGTTGGGAGTTTCTTTTCTTACATATCTATAGTCAAGGTGTAGCTGGAATGGGTTGCGATGTTGAGGATCCAGTGCTCTGCAGAGAATCATTCTGTGGTCAGAGCTATGATGGCAAAGAAGTAGGTGATATTAGTTCACAACAGCTGTTTATAAATCAGCAATAAATTACTTGATCCAAACAGATCACCCAGAAAATAGAGTACCTACTCAAAGTACAGTTCTGTAGGATAAAATATACCTATGGTAGTGTGAAGGAACTTGTACTAATTGACTTTTTGTGAGTGAAAGATCGTTAGTCTCCTATTCTGAGAATGTAGGAACAATTTTGAGTTCTCCATCGAATACCACAACTCCATTGCTATTTTTATTCCCTAACTTTCCCCAAGCAATATACACATGTAATGAGTTCTGAGCTTTCCGTCACTTTGATGTCTTATGCTGTTTTCCTCCCTAAAGCCTTAGAGATGAAAGAACTGCAATACCTCAGTCTGGAGAGGGAGACATTTCTAGCAGGAGAAGAGAGAATTTTTCCCCTTGAACAGTAAGGGAGATGGAAAAATAGCTTGGAGATCGTCTGGTAGCCTTCATAGCCTTAGTGACCGCGTGTCAGTCTGCACAAATAATCTCAGTGACCACCGCTGTCTGAAGCACCAAAGAATGGCAATGATGTAAGGCAAAATTCATTTGTTGAGTGGGGTTTTTTGTGGTTTGGTTTGGTTTGGTTTTTTTCCCCCTTGAGTTGCAGTGACTTACTGTTGAGTGACTATCTTGCTAGCATGTTGTGATCTCCCATATTTCCATAACCAAGTGGGTCTATTTGCACATGTGAAAACCTGCTGAAATCACAGCAGAGACATGATGCTGATGTTGATCAAAATGTATAAGAAAAGTATCAAGTAGATGAGTAAGGCTTTAACTTCTGCTTTTGGGTGGCACCACAGACTTGACATTGGTGGACTGTGTTATTAACAAGTTGAGCTAATCTGTATATGGATTTTTTTAAAAATTAAAGAGGAAAAGGTCTGAAGGTCGTTATTTCTGATATGGTATATTATGACTGTATTCGTTTCATGTCCAGGTATCTGCCCTCTCATCCTTCTTTACCAGGCTGCTTGGTACACAGGCATGATGTCTCCTGTCAGTTTTTCAGAGTCAGGCATCTCCAGCATCCCACACTCCGTTCGGTCTCGCGCTTTCTTCCATAGCTTCAGGCTTCCTGGAATCCTGCAGCAGAGACTCCAGCTTCCTTTTCCCCTGTGCTGTGGAAGACACAATAATCTGCTAAGATGTAAAAGGGAAAAAATCCCAACTTACCAGTAGAAAGTCGTGCTGGCCATTGTCCTTGCAAGATTTTAACTTTAACCCTGCTGTGAATTACCAGCTAGTTTGTTTTACATTCTCACTGGCGTTGTGCAGTAACTGGAAGGCAATTTCTGTGGATTTCCTTGTCACAAAATACTCGCCGTACACAGTCGCGTTGCTGCACGGGCTCTGGAGAAGGGGATTTCCTATAAGAGGGGGCGAATTTCACCTGAACCTGATCTAGACTTTCAGGTTGTCTGCTGGCTAGAGGTAACCATGCTCCAGGGAGGGGGTTTGTGGTGGTTAATCCATCGAGGTACCTGGGGCACGAGGGCAGCAGTAATTTCCCAGGCTGGTGCAAGGAATCGGAGGTTTAGTTAGAGACGAAAATTAAACTGTGTGGAGGATGAAGAATATTGCTAAGCTGTTTTAAGGCAATGCACACAAATTACAAGCAAATTGTAATTGATTTGCACTGAGGGTTTTTTCTCTCTCGGTCAACAGGTGCTTCTCAGAGCTCTTCGGAGATATTTAGAAGGGAAAGTCCATGAGGTGAGAGGAGAAAAAGGTTAGTATTCTCTCCCTGGGAAGGAGAGTGACTCTTAGTAAAGCAGTCTTGAATCAAGAGTTCTCTTAGCACAGATAAAAGCTTAAACTGTTGCCTACAAAGATTATTAGCAAAATTGTCTTTGATTTCTGATGGATTAGAGTGCAGTGCTTAGAGGAATTAGCTGCATCCTAACGAGGCAGACTTTTTCAAAGAGCAAAAAGAAGAGGGAGCCTTGCTAGCCGTGATCCTTTTCTAAGTCTAGATTAAATGACTTTTTCCACAAAAGGCTTGTGGAAGTTCAGCCTGCTTTCCCTGCTTGGGCTCTTGGCACCCTCACTGCTGCAGGTTTTGTCGAAATCACCTGAGCAGATTGTGGTGCTAGAGATGGAGCTGGACACCCGCTTCCCTTGGGGAATAGTGGGGGGTACCAGGAAA